TGGTTCTTCTGACTCCAGAAGTAGCTTAATTTGGCTCTGGCTTGGAATTCTGACCTGGAGGCTTACACCTGGCATGAAGTATGACTTGAGCAGAGAACCAGGAAGAGGCTGTGTAGACAGTTCTCTGCAACAGCAAACTTTGCACTATTGCCTTCCACACTTGCCCCACTTTTGTTGAGATAGTTAAGATAGTTGCCCTTCAATACTGTCTAATGGTTTAACCCTACTGGGTAAAACTAAGTGAGACACTCTGGGTCCTGCCACAGAGAGGAAACTTAGGGAGATCTATAGTATCCTTGGTCTCTAAGCCTGTATTTGTTTCAAGTGACTGCATTTGAAAGACTGTGAGATATATTACATAGTATAGAAAATTTCATAAAACATTTATATGAAGATTAATATAAAAGGAACACTGGTTAACACTGCAGGGTCTTAGATGTACCTGTGTTCTCTGGCCTGTGCACAATCTCACTGTGTTGATCTGTTTTCCATCGCTGTGACAAAATACCTGTGAAAGGCAATTTAAAGGAGGAAAGATTTGTTTTGGCTCACAGTTTCAGAGGCTTCAGTTCATGGTCACTTGGCTCTGCTACTTCTGGGCCTGTGGTGGAGCAGGACATCAATGGCAGGGAGGGCATGGCAGAGCAAAGCTCCTCACCTCATGGGGCCAGGAAGTGGAGAGAGAGGGGAAGGAATCGGAGACAAAAGATATCCTTCAAAAGCAATGGCCATGACCTACTTCCTTTAAGTAGGTCCTGCCTCCTGAAGTTTCCACCATGTCTGCATGCTGGGGACAAAACTTTCAACACATGAGCCTTTGCAGAACATTCCAGATCTAAACTATCACACTCTACTTTCTTCCTCTGACCTCCACCCTGAGACAAACACTATCCTGACATCTGAACTAACCATTCCATTGGTTTTCTTTTTTCACCTATTTAAGCATCACTATACTATACAGTTTACTTTAATCTCTTTTGAACTTTATATAAAGGGAATAAAAAGATCTTCTTTGTAATTTGCTTCTTTCACCCTACCTCATTTAGAGGACCATTCACATTAATGGCTATAACTGTAACCTGTTTATTGTCATTGCTGTATATGCCAATTTATTTATTTATTCTCCTGTTTCTGAGTATCTTAGAGTATCTTTCTTGTTGTTAAGACACAATACTTGACACCCACAGCCTAAAGGAGGAGAGATTTATTTCGGCTCAAGTTTTCAGCCCATACTCCACAGGTGGCAAGGCAGAAAACAGCATGGCAGAGGGGCAGTGAGAGAAAAACTGCTCACATCATGATGGCCAAGAAGCAGAGAGGTAGGGGAGGAACTTGGGAGAGAGATACCCTTCCAGGTACACCCCAATGACTCGCATTTTGTGATCAGACCCCACTTCCTGACAAGAGGTCAGGTACATCACCCCATGATTCAAAAACCATTTGAAAGCTCCACCTTGTGAGCATACAAGGGCTTTGGGGGATATTCACATTGTAAACCATAACACTGGGCACTTCGGTTGTTTCTAGTTTAGAACACTTAGGCTGTTCTGAACAATGCTGCTAAGAATGTGTTTCTGTGTGTGTGTGTGTGTATGTGTGTGTGTGTGAGTACATGTGTGCATGTATATGTGTGGGCATTGACAGATGCCCAATTTTCTCTGGGTGTACACCTAGGAGTCCAACCAGTGGACACGGGACATGAACAAATACAACTCTTCTAGTTAACGCCAGCTTGTTTTGCAGAACGGGAAACCCATTTATATGTCCACTGTCAGGATAAAATGGTGTCTGTTGGTCAAGGCCCTTGGTGCTGCCCAGGTGTCACTTTTGCCAGTAACTCATTGTGGTTTAATTTGCATTTCTCTAATGAGAAATAGGTTTCTTGGTCTTTTGGATTTCCTCTATTATGGAGGATCTGTTCAGGTCTTCTGTTTTCTTCTTTATTTTCATTTTGATTCACAGTAGTTCTTTATAAATTCTGGATCTCAGTACTTTGTCAGTTTTATGTGTTCTAACACCATTTCTCACTCTGGGAATTGTCTCTTTAGACTATTAAACTGTCTTTGGAACAGACATTCTTACTGTCATATATTCAAATTCATAAATCTCTCATTTACAATTAGTGGGTTTGTGTCTGATTTAAGAAATACTTCCCTACACCCAAGATTAGGAAGATATCTGCTATATTACCTTCTAAATCTTTAATTTTGCCCTTCATGTATGCTTTGTTAATGAGCCTTAGTTGATTTTTTTTGTGTAGTGCAAAGTGAGTGTCTAATTCCATTTTTCTCCTTATGAATACTCAATTATCTTCACACTATTTATTGAAATTCTATCTTTTCATCCATTGATCTGAGCTATTATATCTGCTATATATCAAATGTGTATAAAGGTAAGGGTCTGTTCATGGCCCCTCTACTCTGGTCCATCGGTCTATTTGTCAGTCCTAGTGCTAAAACTACACTGTCTGAATTGCTATAGCTTTGTAATAAATATTTATATCTGATAGAGGAAGTCTTCCCACTTTATTTTTTTAAGAGTAGCTACTCTTGGCCCTTGGTGCTGTCATATAAATTTTAGAGCTTGCTTGTCAAGTTCTACAAAAAAACCTATTGGGATTTTAATTGGGATTTTACTGAGTCTATAAATCAATTTGGAGAAAAATGACATCTTTACAATGCTGAGGCCTCTAATCCATGAAGTGGTGTATTTCTCCATGTATTTAGATCTTCTTTAATATGTTTCAATAAAATTTTATAATTTTCTCCATGAATATCATATACTTGTTTTGTTGGATTTATTCCTAGATACTTCATAGTTTTTAATGGCATCATGGTCAGTCTTTTTTAAATTTCATTTTATAGCTATATTGCTAATTAGAAATGAACTTATTTTTTCTATTGATTTTGTGTTCAAAAATTTTGGTAGGGGCCATCTATTTGGGACTCTTATGTCCCTCAGGAGATATTCTTATTCCCTATTTCTATTCCCCAGTAAATTTTTCTACTCTTAAAAAATTTTGGCAGACTCTTGTATTAATTCGAGTAATTTATATTTATTTTTAGTTTTTCATAATGGGCCACCACGTTATCTGCAAATAATAAAAACAGATTTGTCTTCTTCCTTTCTAATCATTGTATTTTTTAATTTATGTTTTTTTACTCAGGTATTACCCAGGATTCTAGTGGAATTTAAATAAAATTGACCTTCATCCTTCACCTTCTGATAAGATGAGGGGCAAGGGAGGCACACAGCATCAAGGCCACAAGTAAGGCACATGATCACTATTTTCAAAGTTGCCTGGTAAATTGACCCATGGGTGGGAATAGCATATATTTTCCAAAGTCAGAATTCAGTATAAAGTAAGTTACGATTTAAATTTCTCAACCTTAGATAGAACAGATGTTATTATTCTTATTTTGCACACCTAAACTGAGGTGTGAGTTTCTTTGCCAACCTATTACTCAAATTTTTGGCAGCAAACCAGGGCAGCAACTTGTGCCCTTTGACTTTGAGTTCTGGATGCTTCCTGTTGTGTCCTATGACCTGGCCAGACAGAGAAGCAGGAAGAGTCCAAGCTGTAGTAGCAGAGCCATGGGATCATTTACAAGACCATCTCTCTTTGATTACATATCCTTCAAACGTTGGTTGGCTTTTGAAGATTCAATAATTGGAGTAATGCAAGACAGTGTGTCTGGCCCATCTAACTTCCTGCTGGAGGTAGTATTAATACCACACACACCTCCTTTAACTGTTGTCCACCACCAGTACTTACTGGGGACAGTCAGTGAGTGACATAAGTTCAGAGGCAGATGCCACCATTTTGAATGGCAGAACGGGGTCACATGATGAGTGAGCAAAAGAAATAGTTGATTTGTAGACAAGTGGCAGCCAGCCCTCCAAAGGGCTAGAAAGAAGAAAATTAAGATCCTTAATGATTTTTAGGTTCACAAGGCCGAGTTAGATACCTCTCAAACTTTCAGGATATTCTTTTGTTAATTTTCTTTCTCCTTGAGATTCTTTGAGTTTCTGTACCTTGTAATCAAAGGGCCCTCGGTAAGTCATCATCCACAGAGTACTGGAGACTCACTGCATTAGCATTTGGTATAATATGACAACAGTTAATTAATTAACCAGTGTTTTGAACATCTACTAAAGGAAACAATACATGAAGTAGAGTAGGAGATGTGAAAACCAAGCCACAGTGCTTGATTAAAGAGAGCTGGTGATTTAGTTTTGCACATATGTAATATTTAGTTTGGGAAGGGGAATTCACAGACAAAGCCGAGAGCAAATATATAATAGCACAATATCAAGTTCCTGGTTGGGTGGAATGAATTCTAAGAGCAATATGAGTTCAGAAATGGAAATGGAAGGAATTCTTAAAGGAAACAGAGGTGCAGCACTTACTTTGAAAGAACTGTCAGGATTAGAACTGACCCAAAGTGGTAGGGAACCTGGGGAAGGTGAGCAGTGGTAGCAATGGCTGCAGACGTGGGACAGCGGTGGGGAGTGTTGGAACCCAAGGTGAGGGCCTCAGGCGTGCCAGGTAGCCTAGACTTTACAGAAAGCCTTGTCCGGGTTTTTAAAATTCCTCTTTCCAGACTGCATTTGAGATTCCTTCTTTAGCCAACATTCCTTAGCCCTGAACACATTTCCCCTCTTTGCTTTCTCTTCCATGCTTAAATATAATCCATTCTTTGTGACTCTCTTTTCTGGAGGAAACTGCAAGAATGAGGGAAGTGACAGCGTTGTTCAGACACGAGCCATTTCTCTGAACTTAGGGTTCTGCTGCATTAAATCATTTCCTCCGTGGGCTTGGGTGATTCTGCCTGTCTGTAGTTTTCTGTGGTTGACCTTCCCCACTTGGCAAAACACTGCATGCAGTTCATGCCTCACCCGCTTCTAGGTTACCTTTTCCAAGAATCTCAGTTCTTAAAATAGCCAGAACATTCGTGGCCTGTTTCTCTGAGAGAGTTCAGCCACACATCTTTCTCTAAAGGGTAGGCTGACCTGATGGGACGAAGATTGATAACCCAAGCCTCAGGAAAACGCTGGCAGGGTGACTCGCTGGCTTCTGGGGGAGAGAGGAGGGGAGCGGCGGGCTGGAGTGGGACACAATGGAATCCGGCTTCACCTCCAAGGATGTTTATGTAGAACATTTTAACCCTCGGGATTATCTAGAAAAATATTACAATTTTGGGTCCAGAAACTCTACCGAAAACCAGATCCTTAGGCACCTTCTGACATATCTTTTCAAGATACTCTGCGAGGGTGAGTTTGTCGGTTGTGATTCCTGTCCATGTGAGTCATAGATTTCCAGGCCTGGCTGGGTTTGGGCCTGGCTGTCACTAGTTCACAGCATTTTTGGCTTCACCTGCTTATTGAACTAGGATAAAAAAACTAATGTTGGTTTAGCTGCTTTACAATTTACAAACTGCTTTTAGAGCCATTATCTTATTTGGTCCTGAGATGGGAAGCCTGGGGGCCTGAGTGCTGTCCTGAGTCTGCATGATTTGTTAAGGTGACTCGAGGGAGCCATCTAACCTCAATGGGCCACGTAAGCAACTGAGAGTCTAATATTTATTTGGAATGTTCTGAATTTTCAAGAGGGAAAGACCTCCGCCATGATAGGAACTAGATGGGAGTTCTGAAGGGACACTATAGGAACCCCATTTTTGAACAAAAACATTTTCTCCCCAAAGTATTCCTTAATAGTTTTTACGTTATCTATGCAGCAGTGTTTCTGGATCAGGGATCTGTACACTAGATGTAGATCTTTTTTCTTCATTTAGACCTTAAATTCGCCCACCTAAACATGCCTCCATTATGGATGGGGAATGGAAAATGAAAAGATATTTTGAAAATGGATCTGGGTTGTGAAGAGTGTAGTGGTCTGTCCTTGGGTAGCTCTGGCACACTCTGAGGGAGGACAGTGTAAACTCAGTTCTGTCTGTTGCAATATGATGCCTCACACTGCCTTCTTTCCTACAGTCAGGTGGGGTGGAAGGAGACCTCCTGATTGACATTGGCTCTGGCCCCACCATCTACCAGCTCCTCTCTGCTTGTGACTCCTTCAAGGAGATCATCACTACTGACTACCTGGACCAGAACCTGCAAGAACTGGAAAAGTGGCTGAAGAAGGAACCAGGAGCCTTTGACTGGTCCCCCGTGGTGACCTATGTGTGTGATCTGGAAGGGAACAGGTAGAGGAACCGTGTCTGCTCCTTGGTTTTCTGAGGACACCTGAGTGACAGCTGGTTTTTCTGAGCCAAGAATGGTCCTTTGAATCCAAGTTGAAAAAGCAATGGAAATAGAAACAGAGAGACCAAAGAAAGATCCAAAATGGAGAATGAGCTCATGAGAGTGAGAAAGAGATGCGACGTAGGAGTGTGTGTGTGTGTGTGTGTGTGTGTGTGAGTGTGTACACCAAAACAACCGAAGACACAGACAGAGAGTTGAACAGATAGGTATTGAGCCAAGAAGGGACACATACACTTCCCGATCCTTCCAGAGGAGGGGGCAGTATGTGGTTCAGTTACCGTGGGACCTAGTTTGAGCAGGATTCAGGTAAAGGTTAACTCAGCTCCTTACCAGCAGCTTTCTGGTGCAAGGGCTCCCTCCCCGGTGCCCTTGTGTTGCTTACCAAGGAGACCAAAGGGTTTGGCTGCAGGTGTGCCTAATGCTGTCATCACCGGAAACCACAAAAAAACCTGCTAGGATTTTTAACTGACATAAACAATATAAAGGAATTGTGTGAAAGGGATGCATTATTCACCATCCATAAAATTAGAGCTTACACACTCACACCTAATGGCCCAAAGCTTGCACTATCACATGTAGAAGTAAACTTATGTAGATGAATTGTTGAAATGCTTGATTTCTCCCACACAGGAAACTGGCAAAAATGCTCTGGACCACGGCAGTCAAGTCTGCGTTTCCCTTGTCTGACTCTTGTCCTGGCGCGCCTCCATCCTTTCCTGGTTGTTTTACACTGTCTGCTCTGCCCAGATGACCATTAGCTCCTAGGGCGTCCCATCTTTGCCTTTGTGGTTATGGCTGAGACCTTTACAAGTTTCAAATGAAGAGGCGGAAGGAGATGAAAAAGATGAGTATTGTTCACCCTAGGATCCAACCAGCCTTGACTGCTACTTTTATATGTTCACTTGTACTTTCTCTTTTTTAATGTTCCTGTGGTTTTAGATTTTAATTTTTTTTCAGTCTTTTTGAGACAGGGTTTTGCTATTCAGTTCAGGCTCACTTTGTAGCCCAGACTTTCCCTGAACTCACTTTGTAGCCCAGGCTTGTCTTGAACTTGCAGAGATCCTCCTGCTTCAGTCTCCCAAATGCTGGGATTAAGGTATGCACCACCACACCTGGCCTGGTTTTTAACTTTGGTTTTTGATACCAGGAATTGAACTCAGGACCTTGTGCTTGCCAGGCAGGCGCTTGTGCCACTGAGCTATATCCCTAGCCCTGGTTTTAAATTTTTAAAAAAATATTTCTCTCATCTTTTCCGTCTTTATGATTTAGTTTTAGTTTTCACATGACTTTCTCTTTGTCTTTCACATGCTTCAAATTCAACTTTTCCTATAATTTTCTCTCTTCATTTAGATGCTACAACACATTGTGTATTATACATCCTATCTTTTTCTAGTCTTTTCATTAAATATATATATAGTATACTTAAACTTATTTTTAACTGATACATGAAAACATAAAGATTGTACCCATTAATGGGTACCATGTGATTTTGGGTAGATTATATAATGTTCAAACAGGTTAAATGTGTCTATCTCCTTAAACATTTACTACTTTTTATGATAAAAGTATTTAAAATCCTTTTTTTTTTGCTTGAGAAATGTGTAATGCATAATTGTTAACTATAGCCATCCTACCCAGGAGTGGGATTATATGCCCAGGAATGGAATTGCTGGATCATATGATAGCTGTATTTTTAATGTTTTGAGGAACTGCCACACTATTTTCCATGATGGTTGTACTAATTTACATTCTCACCAGCAACATGTAAGGTTCCCCCCTACACATACTCTTGCCAGCATTTTTTATCTTTTGTCTTTCTGATAAGAGTTATCCTTACTGGAGTCAGGTGATATTTCATTGCTTGATTTTGATTTCCCTGATGATTAAAGAGGTTGACATTTTTTCATATACTTGTTGGCTACTCTTTTGACAAATGTCTATTTAGGTCTCTTGCCCATTTTAAAAATTGGATTGTTAGTTTCTTGCTATTAACTTTTTTCAGTTCCTTACATATTCTGGATATTAATGCAAATATTTCTGTTTATTCTGTAGCTTGTATTTTCACTCTGATGATTGTTTTGTTTGCTGTGGAGAGCTTTTAGTTTGACACAATTCCATTTGTCTATTTTGGGTATAGTGAATCAGGAGGGAATTTTGATTTCCTATTTTAGTATATGTGCTGCCTAAGCAAGCACGGAATTTTGATTTCTTGCCAAAACAATCTCTCTTGAGAAACAAATATTACTATTTTTGGCTCATAGTTAAAGAAACTAGTATTAATTAATTACTGACTAATTAATTAAAAAAAATCAAACCTTTGTTGAGCAATTATGGCTCACTCAACACATCAACACAGCATCAGCTCCTAAGTCAGAACACCGAACAGGGTAGAAGGCCCTTCCCCCCTTAGAACTTGCATCAGGGAGGGGAGGCAAATGCCAGATCCTTAGGGACTTGTAGGCTAAATTAAAGATTATGGGTCTCAAGCATAATGGGATGAACGGTATTTCAGATATGACCAAGAGAAGGATGAGACCCCGCTTACATTTACAAAGATCTATCTGGATGCTGATGGAAGGGATTTAGAGGGAAACAAGAGATGGAGGAAGGAGCTCATTTAAATCCAGGTGAGAGAGATGCTGGATGTTGTGAGCTAAGCTGATGGAGAAAGATAGATGGTTTTAAGATCAACTTTTGAGTTAGAATAAATAATAATTGTAATCATTAGCTTTGGGAAGTGAGAATGAGGAAGTATCAAAGATGAACCTAGGTTCAAGAACTTGGACAGGATAGAAAAATAAGGTAATCATCTTGAATCTCGGGGCTCAACATTGAAATCACGAAGATTTATCACACTTGAGGAATATGCCTGCTTAGATTCTCTTCTGGAGTGATGGTCAATTCATTTCTGTATAATTGCGCTAATAATTGACTCCTACCTATTGGTCAGTTTTGTTTATTCCTAAGAGTCAATTTCCTATCTGAAATTGATTCTAACGTCTGCCTCTGTTTCATTAGTCTCCTATTTTCTTTTAATAGTCTGATGGCTTCTGGCAGGTTTCTCCTCTCAAGGTTATTAGGAGTATTCTAAGTTTATATTCATTTTCTCATATGTTGTTGATACACTGTCTTATTGGTAGTGGACGTGGATTGTCAAAAGTCATCAAGGTGACTTCCTGATGATACAATTCTTTATAAAGCAGCAAGGTGAATCAAATAGGCTTTTTTTCTGTCCCAATGAATACTTTTGCTGTCATTCAGGGGTTGCATAACTTCCACTGAGTTTACACTGGTCTCACCCTTATTTCTAGGCACAGTAAGTCTTCAAATCAGGTACTATAAATCTTCCAACTTTGTTCTTTTCCAAGATTATTTTAGAACTTCTAGTGCCATTATATCTTGATATAAATTTTAGGTCAACATGGCCAATCATCAGAAAAAGCCTACTGAGACTTTGGGATTTCTTTGAGTTTACAGATTAATTTAGGAGAAACAATGTACTAAATTTCCAGTCAATAAACATGGTTAATCTCTTTGTTTGTGTATGACTGCTTTCATTTCTTTCAGCAATGTTTTGTAGTTCCTATAGTTTGTTAAATTTTCCTTTTTTAATGCTATTATTGTTTTTTAAATTTTAACTTTTATTAATTCCATTTGTATTTCAATTTTAGTATATTTTTATGTATTGGCTTTGGGTCCTATGACCTTGCTGACTTTATTAATTCACTTTAGTAGGTTTTTTTGTAATTCCATTTGTAGAAAACAATGTACATAGGGTTTTCTATGTACACTATTTCCATAGTGTACATAGGGTTTTCTATGTTTACTGTTTTCTACAAATAAAAATAGATTTTTAAATTCTATTCCAGCTTTACATCTTCTATTTTTTAACTTTATTTACATTGGCTATGACTTCCAATATAATGTTGAATAAAAATGATGAGAGAAGACATTTGTATTTATTCCATATCTTAGGGGAAATTTTTTTCAGTGATTCATTACTAAGCATATTAGTTACAGGTTTTTCACAGATGTTCATTATTAGGCTAAGCCCCTCTGCATTCTTACCTTCTTGGAAGTTTTAAATCAAATGTTCAATTTTGTCAATTTTTTTTGCTTTTATTGAGATGGTCACATGCTTCTACTTCTCTTTTTGGAAAATGTAAATTTCATCAGATGATTTTGAATGCTAAAACAAAATGGCATAAACCTCTTGGGTTATCAAGCGTTACATTTTTATGTATTTCTGGATGTGATTTGCCAAAGTGCTATTAAGAAATTTTGTTTTGAGTCAGGCATGGTGTCACATGCCTGTAATCCCAGCACTTGGCAAAGGCTGAGGCAGGAGGATTGATAAGAGTTCAAGGACAGGGCAGAGAATATAGCTCAGTGGAACTGCACCTGCCTGGGAAGCATAAGGTCCCAAGTTTGATTCCTGGACCAAAAAAAAAAATAGTTTGAGGCCAGCCTGGGCTACATAGTGAGTTCAAAACTAACCCAAGCTCTGTAGTGAGACCTTGTCTCCCCCTCCACAAAAAAACCCCAAATTTCTGTTCTATATTTATGAGGGATATTGAACTATAATCTTCATTTCTTGTAATGTGTGTGGCAGATGATAAGATCAGCATGGCGTTGGAGTTGAGAGTGTTTTCTCTCCTTTTGAAGTTTTTGTGGCGCTGGTTTTATCCTCTTCTTAAATGATTAATAGAATTCACCATGAGGCCATCTAGATGTGACGATTTTTCTGCATGTGGCAAGAAGGTCTTTTGTTCAAAATAGTATTTCTCTATTGACTGCTTGCTTGCTTGCTTGATTGATTTTACTGGAGACTGTGGTCAGGAATGCCTAAACTGAACTGGATCCCTATCCCTTTATTTTATTTTTTGTTTTGAGACAGAGTATTGCTAAGTTGCCCAGGCTGACCTCAAACTTGCAATCTTCC